TTTTTTTTTTTTGGGTTTGGGTTAAATGGATTTTGGGTTTTGGGTTTTTTGGGTAATTGGATTTGAATTTGGGTTTTGGTTTGGGTTTGATGGGTTTTGGGCTGGACTTTACATTTCACCCCTCTAACTTTCAATTTCTTCAATTGAGTCCTTTCTCTCATCTTCCTTCCCAATCTTCTTCGTAAATTTTCCTTTTTGCTCCAAAACCTAACAAGGAAAACATAAAAATGAAAATAAAATTCTATTAAAATTTGAGTTATGATAACTACACACTTAAATAAATCAATTAGTCACTCAAATGTGTTTTGTAATCATCAAAATCATATGTACAACAGAAAGCAGTTAGTTGTATTCTTTTATTGTTATGATTTTTAGTTTTTTGCATGTAATTTTGTTAATTTTAACTTTAAACTTTTAATATGTTATATTTATTATAGGAGAACAAAGAATATGGTAAATTTGAGCATCATGGATTAGAAAACACAGTGGAATTGCAGCAAATGTTTGACAGAATAGTAGTCACTGGTGAAACTGCATGGACTTTAGCTGCTAGGCCTATTCCTCCAGTACAACAGAATGTGAGGTTTGAAGATGCTATTGATTTGGAAGAAGGAAGTGGTGATTCTGATGAGGTGAATGTCATCCCAACACAAACTGGTGGAAGCAGTGAAAAAAGGAAGAAAAACACAATTCGTCCTTCACTTACTGGCAAAGGGAAGAAAGTGAAAGTAGGGAGTGCAGCATACATGCAGAGATAATTGAATCATCTTTGTGATGCAATTGAAAGTTATACCACAACTACTTTGAGTGATTCATCAAAGAAGAATTATGAAGCATATCTTGAGAGCACTGAAGAATGTATGGAGATATTGTGAACTTTACCTGGAGTTGAAGATGGTAAAGAGCTTTTTATGTTAGGTACTCGTTTGTTTGTGAAATGAGAATATAGAAATATGTTTAGGAGTATAAAATCAGTTAACTCAAAACTTTCTTGGCTGCAGCAAGAGTTGGAAAGGGATAAGATAAGGTTTGAGATGGAGAGGGAGAGATTTAGTGGTAGAAGGCATTACTAGGATGTTTGTATTTGAGTTTTTATTATTAAGACATTAGTAATGCTTGTATTTGAGATACGAAACTGTTTTTTTTTTTTTTTTTTGTATTTTCATTGTATGTGGATTAATGTTATGAATTTATGTCTTTTTCATAATGTTGTTGTTTAGAAATTAGACTGGTGATTTATAGTTCAAATAAGGATTCCATAGTAATCCATGTTTAGATTATCACTTATTTTGAAATATTAAGTTTTTTTCTTTTTGTTAATTTGTAAAAGTTAAAATAATATGATTCATACAATTTAAAAATTATTGGTGTCCACATTATCTAAAAGGGAAGGGCCAATTTGCATAAGTTTTAAAATTAAAAATGTAGATTTTATATAAAAATAAGTTTTGGGTTAAATCATTACAATCAAAGAATTTTAAGGGCTACTAAACCTTTTTACCTTTTATATCAAAAGTAGCAATGTGGATCCCGTGATGCAGAATCTCTCAATAGCTGAGGACAGTAGGTAGGCACTGCCTAAGAGTTGATTTCAGAGCATGCGTTGGGACAGTAGGCATGCACTACGCAAGTGTTGTATTTCAATCACATTAGAAAAAAACGTCTGTCTTAAGAAAAGATTTCTCAATCATATTAGAAAAGAAATTCTGTCTTAAGTAAAGATTTCTCAATCACATAGAAAAAAAATCTAAACATATATAAAAACACAACCCTCTATTTAAATTACCACACCCTCATGCACTTCTCCCAAATTCAATTTACGTCCAAGAGTTCAAGAGTTCATTTATTGTTCAACTTAAGAGAAAGATAAAAACGTATGTTATCTTTTTTCTTTTCTTTTTTTTACATTTTTAATTTAGTTGTAAAAATAATTAGATTGGTTTTTTGTGTTTATATGTGGATCCTAATGTTTTTCTTTTTCTTGATAGATGGATTTAGATCCAAGGTGGAATTATGAAAATAGTGATGAGTGTGAGGTGGAGGAAGAAAATAGTGATGAGGATGAGATGGAGGAACAAGCTATAGAACAAAGAGATAAGCAGGTGGAAGGTAGACGAAAAAGAGATAATATCTTTTATTCTCTTGTTCAGTTAGGTGCTTCAATATCTTCAAAATATATTTCAAAATATCTTAACAAACAAAAAAGAAGAGTTTCAAGACTTTCAGGTTAGCAATGGGTGCAAGAGATATTGGTAACTCCAGGTGAAAGTGGTAAATTATTTAGAATGGAACCACATGTTTTATGGGATTATGTTCTTTGTTAGTTAGTAATTATGGCCTAACATCAACAAGAGAAATATGTGTAGAAGAATCACTTGCAATGTTTTTTTGGACATGTGCACATAATCAATCTAATCGAAATGTGCAAAATCATTTTAAATATTCGGGAGAAACAGTAAGTAGAAAAATTGGTGAGGTTCTTGATGCAATTGTGAGGTTTTCAAGTGACATTGTGAAACCACCTGATTATAATTTTATCGAAACTCCCAATAAGATTCGACAAGATAGTAGGTTTTGGCCTCATTTTAAAAGATGTATTGGTGCAATTGATGGTACGCATGTTAAAGCCATAATCCCTGAAGAAGACCGAATACCATTTATAGGTCGCAAAGGCATCCCCACTCAAAATGTGATGGTAATTTGTAATTTTGACATGATATTTACATTTGTAGTTATAGGGTGGCTTGGATCTACTCATGATGCACGTGTTTTCATCCATACATTGGAAAATCATAAGGATGTGTTTCCTCATCCTCCTAATGGTAATAATTTTCTATTTATTTTGTGTTATAGTTTTTAAGAACAATTCTTAATGAATTTTTAAGAAAATTTTTCGTATTTATTATTAATGACTTCTCTCTTATATTTTAGGTAAATATTATCTTGTTGATGTTGGTTATCCTAATATAATTGGATATTTGGCACCTTATAAAGGAGAATTATATCACATTCCTGATTTTAGATGTGGAAGCCAACCAATCGATTATCAAGAAGTATTCAACCATACTCATGCTTGTCTTAGAAATGTCATTGAACGATTTATTGGGTTTTGGAAAAATAGTTTTGAAATATTATTCGGCATGCAAAGTTATTCATTTATAACATAGAAGAAGATAGTAGCTGCAACTATTGCACTTCATAATTATATTATGCAACATGCAATCGAGGATAAAGAATTTGATAGGTGTGATCAGAACCCAAATTATATACCTAAAATGTTTGGAGAAGAGAGCATATATCAAGGAATTTCTCAAAGTAATTTTGTTAGTACAATAGAGGATCGTAACATGATTTTACTTAGAGATTCCCTAGCTTTATCCTTAATGCAAAATCAATCAAGATGATTATTTGACAAAAATTTTAATTTTAATTGTTTTATTTATGTGACTTAAATGTAGTATATTTTATTTTTTAATATTAAAATATAAGCATTTATCTAGTATTTATGTTTTAAAATATGAATAATTAACTTTTAAGCATCAACCTTAAACTAATTATAAAAATAAAGTCATATAAAAATATAAAAAAATTTAGAGTGGGAGTGGTGATTAAATATGAATAATTAATTTTTAA